ATACGATGAAATGGTCGCCAGCGAAGATCCGTGAACGTGTCGGCATCCATCCGTGTGCCCTTTCCCGCGCCAACACGAGATGCGCTGAGGGTCACACCAGCCTGAAACATAAAAACGAATTTTTTTGATTTTATACGCCGTTCTCCAAAAGAAGCTTCAGAATTTCTAACGAGGAGTATTTATTTTCCATTGTGTACAATGTTGTTGTTAAGCAAGTATTAATCGTAGAAGGAAGAAAGCATTTGTAAACATGATTATATAGATCCATAACCAAACCGGAATTGTTAATAATTACCAGTGCTCTATCTTGCCAACATAGCAATGTATCTTATCTACCGGGTGCTCTATGTTATCGAGTCGGAAAGCAAAACATTTCCTATTATTTGGGGAACGGGTTACTGGTCTAAGTTCCTCGCAAGGGTTTTTCTTCCTGCTGAAGCTTAAAACAACGTCACCAGAGTCTCTAACCAGTGCACACTGGATACAGGGTATCCTGAACTAAAAGTTTGACGTGACGTATGGATGGTGCGACAAAAATTCTTGATAAAATCTCGCGTAACTTGTAGAGCACGCACGGCGACGCTCGTAAATTGGTGGATTCCGATATGCACGTCCACAGGGGAGTTTTATCGGACTTGGTCGAAAGTTCCCAGCACGATAGTGTTTACTTGGCTCGCGCGCGTCGTAACGTCGGAATTATTCCACTGGTGACAAAACAGACCCTGTCGACCCTGATGGTTTAAGACTGTGGATGCAGTGGAAGCTGATGAGAAAGCTCAAGGACTCTAACTATGGAGTTTAAAAAACTGCAGAAGTATAAGACTCTTTGACGATATAAAACCCTAATCCACATTACTATGACTCTCTTACTACTCGACATTGATGAACGCTGTTCAAAAGGAGGACCAGAACACTCCAAACCACTCATTTTCTTTCGCCTCGAAGCAAGAATTCCCCAACCTTCTTCCAATCAGAGTTCTTAATGGATCCTGTCGCGAAGGCACGCACGTCGCGTATCGCAGAAAGCTCGGAGCCTTTCACGTGCTAGGACTCGCCGATTGATTTACAATGGCCGAAGGTGTGGCAAAATCCGACACCAATATCACGCCGATACTCGGGCGCGTGGACAATTATCCCGCTGGACAAAGGCTACGGGGGTGTATATGCGGCCTGTCCCACACGTGCACGCGCTGGCCTACGGCTCTTTACGCAGCTGACGCGGCTCTACTCGTATTAAGAATCGCGTGGGCCCCCGCACGTGCGTGGGCAAAACACCCGCACGTCGCAGCACACGCAACTTCGAAGAAAACTCGAACGCTCCTCCAACGCTGCCAGAGGAGGTGCAAGGACCTCCCGATATTTATCTGCCATTGAAAGCGACGCGGGAACCTCGAAAGAAACTTACGAGACGCGCTCGTCACTCCTACTTGAAACGAACGACCGCATTTCCGAGGCTGAAGATGTGTGCAGCGCGACCTATGTACCAGGAACGGGCGAAACTCTTATCTACGGGGGCGGGCGAAAGTAAGAAATAACGCGAGGGGAAACGTCCTCAACAATGCTGAAGACTATTTTTTTTAAGAAAGATACGGATGCCTTCTCGAACATATTGTTATCTACGATCATTTGGATTTATGAGTGTTTGATCTATGAGAGTGTTTATCTATGTTTGTGTGTCGAATTTGTACACGCTATAATGAAAGGTATTTATAATACATCTCGCAGAAACAATCATTAAGCTGAATATAACAGTTTAGTGGTAAATGCAGCTTTCAGATATTAGAATGAACCACCGTTCCACACTTCTGATCTTTTACTCCGAGCATTGCTATTGTTCCTCGGGTGATAATGAGCTCGTAAATAGTCAGCAATCATCGAATAAGGCGCAACCGTCGTAGGTTCTTCGTGGCATACGTAAGCGAATAACGACCAGTTGTCATACCTTCCTTCATGACCGACAGGTTTATGTTTTCGCTTGTCACGCCTCTACGCGTTGAACAAGGCAACCCGGCTGACATTCTCTTCTTCCTTTCCCGTCTCGTTTTGCCAATTTTTACCGAAAGAAGAGACGAATGGGACGGGACAAATTTCAACAATTTATGCATCGCTATGTATGGACCGTAAATTCGATACGCGTTGCTCGATAACTTACACGAGTAGGATTAATTATCGTAGCGAATAAGAACTTGTTACGTATCCATAAATTCAAATTTCAAGTGGAAGCCGAAGGGAGAATTGAAATTTTAATTATATTTCTGAGCTACGTTTCGTCTTTGTGTTTTGAGTCTTTTAAATACGAATATTTAAAATTAGAAATTAAATTTGTAAACACTCTCCTCACGTGGAGGAACGTACGTGCTGCCATCTAAGACCATAATGGTGAACTGCGTGTACGAGGGTATGCTATTACCGACATATGATCGTGCAGATTTCTGTATGGATTTAGTTATCTTGACATATGGTAAAATACTAAACCGCATTTGTTACCCGCGGGTAACTTAAACGATACAGTCTTTTGTATCATTTGTAGTTTTTCATCCCTACAGCAATAATGAACTTCAAGATTACGGTGCAGTTAAAATAAAACATACATAATTATATATGGAAACATATTAACTACAAAATAAATAAATGATGATAAATAATAGATTGGCTACGCTGTTAATGATTTTGAAAGAAGCACTCGTCTAGATTTGTATCTGTCACGTGAAAGATGTTGTTTAAAGTTGAAAACTCATAATGTGAGAAGATAGGAATCGAAATACCGTGATAAAATACAAGTATTTTCAAATGATAGTATCGGAATGCTACACGTTATTCAGATTGTCGATTCATATATCTATTCTGATCTCTATTCGAAAATACTCAATAATTTTTATCAAAATGGCTACTGTCCTCGTTCCCCATGTACGTTATAACGTTTGTAGACACTGATGTTGCAATCTTTATACCGAATTTTATAAGAAAAGAGAATCGCGTCATTTGAATTCACGAGAAACTTAAAAATAGCGTAGAAAGCGATAACACGTTCGATCGATTTCCCTAATTGTTATATATGTATACCGTTTTCGACTCTTCATCCTATGACACGATCAAATGATTAAAAAATGTGACTCATCCTCCGGAAGATTCAAAGAACGCATCCTCTCATCATCTACTATCACTTGTCGATTCTCTTCATGGAGATATTTCACATTAACTGTATTCAATTGAAATCACGTAACATGTTAATCTGGACTATTGTCACAAAGTAATAATTGCACTTGTCTATGTCTGACCTAACACCACGGGTAAGCTTGCCGAATGTTCTAGAATGTTCCAGAATATTCGAGAATCCAAAGCAAATCGATTTAATTTTCAATACCGCCAATAGCATCCGTCATAAAAATCGTGTTTAATTGTGAAATTAGTGTAGTCTGGTAATTGGATGTCTTTGAAAAACGAAAATTCAAAGGTATGATTGTTAACTATAACGTGATTTTAAGCATTCGTTCTATTTAAACTGGAAATTAATGCTTCTTAGAAATCTCGATCCTTTGCCTTTGTACAAATTCGAATTTCGCCATCTTTAAGCATTTTACACTTTACAATTCAATTGAATTATATACTTATTTATTTGGCAACAACAATAGCAAAGAAGAAGTTTCTTTATAAAGTGTATGATCCTACGAAATGCGTATGTCTTTACGAAAATCATTTTCGCGTGATATTAATCAACGCGATTACAATTTTATATTATTCTCATTTTTTCATATTATTCTTCTAAAGAATGTTTGCTTAGGTTTAAAAGATAATCATAGCATTTTAGTTGAAATTTTTATTTATTATTTGAAGTACACATAAAAACCACTTCTAGACATGCCCCACTATAATTATTTCTGATATCACTGTAATTAATTGCAGTGTACCTTTGAAATACTTCAAGAACTTTATCAATAAATCAAGGCTTATCATACAGAAATCTGATTAAGTTCCTGATTAGATTACTTCAATAAGATGATTGACAATTAAAAGTAGCACTAGTGTAAAGATAAGGATTTAGAAATAGCAAATTTGTATAAAAGTGTTTCCATTTTGATGATATTATCACTGAAATTAAGCATAAGCGTTGTTTTAATTAAAAAATTTATTTTAACAATTGTTATACAGGACAAAATCAATCAATTTATTAAAATCGTATTACATGATTTAAATGTTTTATAGACATATATTTTCATCTAACAAATTTACAGCATCTCTAAGTAATTCTGATGATTCTTCTGGTGTACATTCGATTAATGAACATTCAAACTGATCTTGGAAAGCATTTTTTAATAGAGGTAGAACATCTTGAATAGAAACATTTGTATTAAGTTCTTTACTAATACTAGTTACACCCTTTCCTTCGATACCACAAGGCACAATATGATCGAACCAACTCAAATCCGTATTGCAATTTAGAGCTAAACCGTGTGTTGTTATATAACGACTTCCATGAATGCCAATTGCACAGATTTTTCTATCATTTACCCACACCCCAGTCTCTGGTGATGTTTTACCCTTAATACCATATTCTGCACACAAACGTATAATCATTTTTTCTATTTGACATACATACCATTTAACACTAGTTTTAAACTGTTTCAAATTTAATATAGGATACGCCACTAATTGTCCAGGTCCATGAAAAGTTATCAGACCACCTCGATTGGTTCTAAAAAATTCAGCTCCTAAACTCTTTAACTTCTCTTCATCTTCCACTGTATAACTCTTACCCCTAATACCAACTGTATATACTGGATAGTGTTCAACTAGTACTAATGTATTAGAGATATTTTTCTCTAAATTTTGACGATGTCGATTAGACAATACCTTTTGCAGTCTGAGTCCAGCACTGTAACTTAACCGACCTGCCCATAAAACTTTTACTGCTTTTGAAATCATAATGACCACGATGAAATGCTTTCTTTGTAAAATTAAATTTTTTTAATACATTCACATGTGTAAATAACTTGAACTTTTTATAAATCTACTTCTTTTTCTTCAGTCTCTTTGTTATCAGCTTTTTCTTGTATAGTAGTATGTAAAAGCCATGAGACATAGGCATCTGTTGCAGCATAATTCTTTTGCTCTTCGCTTAGGGGATGAATATGCCACTTACTCATTCTAACTTTTTTATTTTTGTCAATTCTTTTTTGCAACTAAAATAAGCAAGGAAAAGAACATTTACATATTGCAAAAATAATTGTACTAATTGTACTACGATTTTGAATTTAAAACACAACTTGATAAAAACACTGACCAGATATGCTGTTAGCTTTTCCAAACTCCAGCGACAAGATCGATTTAGTACTTTGTTTGCAAATGTACCACTGTCTAAGCAATTATTTTCTACAACCTTCTGAGCTGGGAATTCTTTAAAATCTCTACCAAGTTTCCAAACATCACTATAAATTAAGAAATTATATGACACAATGATATAAGTAACATTGCAATGATATAAGTAACATTACTTTTTTATATTGACTCCAACAAGTTTTACTTTTGGATGACTTAAAAGAATTACAAATGCAGCAGGTAATTTTTTTAATGAATATATATGCAACAAATGACAAATATTCTTATTCAAACAAATTTGTGCTAAGGCAGTTTTCCCACTTCCTGTTTGGAAACTAAAAGGCCACTCCAAATCAAATCCTATTGGTACTATTTCATTGTCACAATTTTCCACATCTTTTCTAGAAAGATGACAAAGAAAAAAATGAAAATATAAATAAATATGTAGCACTGTATATAACATCAATTATTATTTATAACACTCAATCAGCCTCCTGAATCTTTTTGGAGACACGCAAAATTTCACACTCAACTTTTTCAATTACATTCTGATTATTATTAAAAGAAGCTTTTAATATTTTAAAATTACTGAATAATGTAGTAAATCCTATAATGATAAAAAAAACTGAGTTTGGATTAACTGAACACAGGTGGTTGATGAAAGTGATAAAAATAATGTGGTTGATAAAAGGATAATAATGTTAGTCTCACATTATATCATCACAGATGCTAGCACAAGCATTAAAATCTTTGATATAATTAATACGTCCTTTGAACACAATTGGTGGTAAAAGACTGATATCAGGTTCTTTTTCTACATAAGTAGACTCCTTTTCACTTGTTTCCTATTCAAATATTTGTAATTAACAGAAAAGAAGTTTAAAACATTGAAAACATAAATTTTACTATAACATAAAAAACATAAAATTTTTGATGTAGTTACAAAGATATAAGGTTCTGAATTTATGTGGAATTACATGAATGAAACATATGAAATATTAAAAATTAAAAATCTATGAAATTTATGCATAGATGATCTATTTATTATAAACACAAAAATGGTGGCATTTTCCAAGAGTATCTGTAATCAAAATACATTAACATACCTTCAAATGCGATGGAAGAAACCTAGGTGATCGCCGAATAGAAAATTCCTTAACCTCTATTGTATGCTAAAAATATTGAAGTCATGTAATACCACTAATACAAGGAACAAACGCAACAAGTATAATTTATTAACCTCTCTAGAGCTACTAGTGATTGATACTTGCTGTGAGCCGCGTGTTATCATCGTAATTAACGAGAAAAAGGAATATTTATGCCTATTATTTAGCAACAGATATGATAACAATTAAACGAAGTAAAACTATAAACTTTTTTCGAAGCCTGTAGAACGACAAACAATAAATATTAGGTATTTGATTGCTTTCCCGCCAATTCTTAGTTTCACAAATACTGTTCAACGACCACATGTATAAAAGTTGTATAGTAAATTCTGTGAATTTAATTCACAGAAATATTACACAAAATTTAAGAAAGTGATAGATGTTTCTAAAATTTGATAATTTATTTTATAAGAATATTTTCTTGTAACACGATCTTTCGTTTCCTTTGTATTATTATTTATATACCTTTTCCTTCCATTTCTTCAAAACAATGGAAAGGTAAGAAATGAAACATCGGCGTGTCCACATGTTTAGAATGAAGTTAGCCTTCGTAAAATTCACACTTTTTAGACTACAACTGATTAAATATAGGTTTTAATATACCAAAAAAACAATCCTACTATTCCTACTCTACTCAAAATTAAGTGTTTGCATAAAACCAAAATTTCAAGTCGATCGGTTGATTAGGTTCGTGAAATCCCGAGGACACGTTAGTAGATTGTTAGAAAAATCTGTATAGTTTAATAATATTTTATAATGATAATATAGTAGCATTGTCTTTATTAAATTGTTTTTATTATTCTCCAATTGTTTCTTCTTATCGAGGTATCTCGATATTATGCATCGTTCACTTTCACTTAAAGTCAACCCTAATTGAAATACATAAACATTGTATTTGTTCTGGCAAAACATGGGTCGAGTATAACGTTCTAAATGGATACTATGTTTGCGAAGTTTGTTCATGACATATATACACATGTAGTATACGTAATTATATTTTCAATATCATAGATTGTATACAAACAATAATTATTACAAAATATGAACTTAATTGAATATCGTGAACGGCAATATTGTTGCAAGAGTGTTAAAAGCTTACATTTATTATTACTTTTAAAGTACCTATGTATACAACATACTATATATAATCTTCTGTTAAATATTATAATGGAAGATTTTAACAAAGGTATCACATTTTTATATTTTAAAAGAATAGTGCATTGTTAAGAGACTAATATTAGACTCTTAATATCATTGATGTAACATTTATAATAAACACAAACTTCTTATGACTAAATTCCGTAAAGTGTAAAAACTTTGTATTAAGTAATAGTTCAATTTATTTCATTTTTACAAAGTTAAGCATTAGGTTCTGCTGCGCTGAAAGTAATTTGTTTAGGCGGAGCGAATTCGGCTTTCCACACGTTTTCCTTGCAATGTTCAACAGCCTTAAAACAAAAAGATATTCAACAATGTATATATACGGTGTATATTATTTATACACAATATATTTTAAATAAGTTTACTCACTTTACATTTAAGAGCTGTTTCATTGCTAGAACACCAATAAACAGGACCCCAGGTACAGCGCTTTATGTCATCTTTCTCGTAGGATCGTTTACTTCGCGCGCTTTCCAAAGATATGGATGAGTAATCTTCAGATGCACAAACACCTATTTTGCCGCATATTTTCTTGCTGTCAGTATGTTGTTCAATAAGGTTTATTATGCTCTGGCCATAAATATTTACCAAAGTGGCACACTAAAAGTAATTAAATATTACAACATTTTAAAGTAACTATCAGAGAGAGTAGACAATCCATGAAATATTATCGATAAAGTATCTTACCTTGCTCTGTTTACTTGCTGGAACATGTTTACATGCTTTAGATACTACGTTAATAATAGTATCATCAACTTTTGGATTTGCTAAAAGTTCATTTATTACTGATATGACACCTTTGCATGTTGCACATTCTACCACAGAAGCTATAAACATATGAGAGAACAATAAAATATGAAACATTCATCGCAAATGTATATTCAATTAAAAAATATATTAATTGTATTTTAAACTACCTTTAAATTCTTCCTCGTACAATACACAAAGTCCTGAGAGAGTACACACTGTCTTGGGACTCATACCTTTTACAATTACATCAATTACAGTATCGCCATGTTTGTTAACGAATTTATTGCAATCATTGGAAAGGTGTTTTGGAAGATGTTTACATACACCCCGTACAGCATCTTCAACTTTATTTTTTGCTTTTTCGCTACCAAGCTTCTTTTCAATAAAACGCATAGCATATTCGCAAACAACACATGTAGGACCTAAGTTTATATCTTCCGATATGTCAGTACTCTCGAAAGTATCTGGTACTTCCTCAATTACTAAAATAAGATATATCGAGAATTTGAAATGTTTCGTAACTTCTATCTATAATATAACTATAATACTATATCTAAAATTGCAAAACGACTATGAATTATATTTTCAAATACCTTCAAAATCCACTTGCATGTAGGTGGAGCAAACTCGTATGAGTTTGCAAACTGACCTCGGACTAACGTTTTGCACAATTTTATTGATTATATCATCACCATGTTTGTTAACGAAATTGTTGCATTCCCGGGAAAGAGTCTTTGGAAGATGTTTACACACACCATGTACAGTACCCTCGACTTTATTCTTTCCTTTTTCGCTACCAAGTTCTTTTTCAATGAAACTAATAGCATATTCGCATACAGTACAAGTAGCTCCTTCGGTATCTTCCGATATCTCAGAATCCACTAAACTTTCTTGAACTTTATCGATTGCTGAAAAAAGACATGTGCATTTTTTAAATATTTTATAAACTCTATTTTTAATATAATTCTACCTCGAAAATTGGCAAAGGATTACGAATTAAACAACATGTGATGTGCAATTTTACATACCTTCAATTTCCTCGAGCATGTAAGCTGAGCAAAGTCCCATAAGACCACAAACATTTTTGGGACTTGCACCTTTTACAATTGCATTAACTGCAGCATCGCCATGATTGTTAATAAATTTGTTGCACGGCCGAGAGATGAACTTCGGAAGATGCTTACATACACCACGCACTGCACCTTCAACTACATCCTTTCCTTTTTTACTACCAATTGCTTTATCAACGAATTTCATAGCATATTCACATACAGTGCAAGTTATAGCTTTGTCCTCTTCTTCCCATATCTCAGAACTCTCTGAAGTCTCTGGTACTTCATCATTTGCTGAAATTTAATGTACATTATTTTTTTGAGATTTATAATACCGTCAAATGATTTGAATTATATTTTCGCATACCTGCGAACTCCATTTGCATGTAGGTTGAGCAAACTCGTATGAGTTTGCAAACTGATTTCGGACTAACGTTTTGCACAATTTTATCGATTATATTATTACCATGTTTGGTAATTAAATCGTTGCATTTTCCGTGAACTTTGTTTGGAAGATGTTTACATATACCACGTACAGTACCTGTGACTTTATCTTTTCCTTTTTCGCTACCGAGTTCTTTTTCAATGAAACGAATAACATATTCGCATATAGTACAAGTAGCTCCTTCGGTATCTGCCAATATCTCAGAATTCACTGAAGTCTCTTGATCGTTATCAATTGCTAAAATAAGAATGTTTTATAAAATCTATTTATAATACAATTATAATCCTATATCAATTATGAATTATATTATGAAATACCTTCGAATTCCTCTTGCATGTACGATGCGCACAATTCCATGAATTTACAAACTTCCTTTGGACTAACATCTTTTGTAATAACATTAATTATAGCATCGCCGTATTTGTTAACGAATTGTGCACATGACTGAGAAAGGGTTTTTGGAAGATGTTTACATACAGTACGCACAGAATTTTCAACTCTATTTCTTGCTTTTTCGCTACCAAGCTCTTTATCAACAAAGCGCATAGCATACTCGCAAATAACACAAGTAGCGCCTTCTTCGTTTTCTATCTCAAAATTTACCGAAGTATCTGGTATTTCATTAGTTACTGAAATTTTAAATGTATATTATATTTTTATTCCCCGATTGAACATTGACAAACAATTACGAACAGTAATTAGTAATTTATATACATACATATTTCGCCGCTGTTGTCTGTAATGAACAGGTTTCTTGGACCAGTGTTCTTGTTATCGTCGCACAGTTTAATATAGACACACACTTCTTGAGGTGACAAGTCTGCAAGTAATAAATCTACAAGTTCTTTGCTGTAACCTTTCACTAAATCTGTGCATTCTTCAGATAGACTACGCGGTAAATGAATACACAATTTATCCAGCACAGATTCTATGTTAGCCTGTAAAAAGAATGATCTCCCTTTAGTGATGCTACATTTTCAAAGATATTGTTATTAAGTCTATAGAAATAAAGTATATGCTGTCACCTCGGTCTTGTTATTTTTAATAATATTATAAACTTGTGACACAGCAAGTAAGCATAATGGGCAACTGGGCTTCTTATTCTTTTGTTCTTCAAGCATATACTTCGATGGTACACTTTCCCACATATTCATTAACTGTTGGCTTGGACAGAAATGTAACATTGGGCATGCCTACAATTATTTGTTATGTCATTTCTGTTATCATTATACTAATTAATACTTAATACATTCTGTATACTAACTTGGGATGGATCAATTTCTTGAGCTAATATAGCTAAAATAGCGTCTCCATAAGTATCTACAAATTCTGAACATTCGCCTCTTATAGTTCCTGGTAGTTTTGTGCATACTCTTTGTATTGCGTGTTTGATTTTGTCCTGTGCAATAAATTAATAATAATGTATCTTATACTTTCTCCTTTGTTGAACTATACATAAAAATATTTTCATAATTCTTACCTCTGTAACGGGAGTCGTTATGGAGTCCTGTATGTAATGTAGCACATATTCGCAAAGTGCGCACGATCCCTTTCCGTGAACAGTCAGTGGACCCTCTGATATTGGGAAAGGTAACATTCTTTCAATAGGCAATTGCATTGATTCTACTTCTGCTTCACTCAGTTCTTGGTGTTTATCATTTTCAAATTTCTTCTTTGAATCTTTAAGCATACGTACTCCAACTTCAGCTACATTGTTAGGTAGTAAAGGCCAAATTGGTGCATCCTGTATAACATTAAACATAAAATTAATACTATTTATATTTAACTGCTACGTAATATATATGTTATTAATAAAGAAAAGTATGCACCTGCATTTCTTTGCCAGGTTCAGGACAAATTCCAGACATTTGACAAACAGCATTACTATTCAGACGTTTTGTAAGATACTCATAAATTTCTGGGTAATATTCATCAACTATGGCAGTACACTTAAACATAATACATATAATTAATCATTTATTTTGCAAATAAAAATGCATATACTATAAATGCTGAGATGCTTACTTCACTGGAGAAGGATTTTGTTTGTTTGCACAACCCATCTAAGACTAGACGAAATTCCGCTTCGGTCGTGTTAGCTACTAAAAGATCTCTTAAATGTCCAACAAGTTGTTCACACAATTTACATGGAAGATCATCACCTACCTCAACCATACCAACACTTGATAATGGTCTGATTTCTACTTCAGGTGTCTAAATGTAATTTACACATTAAAGTTGATTGGAATATTTAAAAATTATTAGTAACATAAAAAATGTTCCTAAACTGACCTTATGTGCATCTTCGTGTTTGTGGAATTTGCCACTACATTGGCCAGATAAGTGACAAATATTTTGTGCATTGAAATTTTCTTGTAAATGAGTATAAATTGTTTCGAAATTTGTCAAAATGATTGCTGAACAAGCGTCTGTAAAAGTATTAAATTCTGCACAGGAATTAAGCATTTGCTGCAACATTTTATCGCGTGGGGTGTGTTTTAGTCTATGTTCCATATGCGTTGCGACTGTATAACATTTAGTGCATTCATCAGGCTCAATTTCGTCGTCTTCCAAAGAATGAGTCTTCATTTCAGCAGCCTGAAAGATATATCCTAAATCTTAAACTTGAAAAATATTACCCTTTATATACTAAAGAATCTTATGTGAAATTGGCTGATTAATTGAAATTGTATGAATAGTTATAAAACATACAAAAGTATCTAACAATGCTGAACATACTTAAAATGTTAAGATTAATTTACCTTAATTGAGGATTCCTCTAGTAATTTATCGATATGAGCAGAATTGCAAAGACCAGCTACTGAACAAACAACAGATGGATTCATTTGAGATGCTAACGTCTCTACAAGATCAGGAATAAATTGATCTACAATTTTTATGCATTCATTCACAACTGTTTTAATGCGCATCAGTCTGCAACTTCCTTCAAAAACAGCCTTGAGATCATTTTGAGTTTGATTACTCTCAAGCTGATCACGAGCTTGCTGAACCATGTCTTTGCAAACAGTGCAGACATTATCACTATCTTCTGGTACTTTCATAGAATTCCATATTGTTTTAATACAATGCTTAGTAGCATTACATCCAGCTGCAGTTCTATAGTCAAATTAAATAGAACATTTACTGAATAGAACATTACTGTATCTTGTAATAATCATACATTGTACTAATACAAAAAATGCAATGCATTAATAATAATGTGAATACAGAGATGTACGTTAAAAACTTTTATTTTACAATGAAGCATAGATATGATTCGGTAATAATGTAAGAATATATAGAAGCTGCTGGTATTAGGAAGTTTACAGTTACTGAAAGACTTTTATATAAGTATATACATTTTCTACAAAAAAATGATTAAAAGCAGACTGCTATTATTGTAAAATATGTGCACAGTATTATAATATCTGATCCATCTTACTTAATATTTTCACACCAATATGAAGGTCCCCATGTACATTCCTCTTGCCCTAAAAGATGAAGGTCAGTTGGACCCTCAGCAGTAATTACTACTCTAGCAGTAGATACTGAAACACATCAATTTATAATACATTAAATAATCTAGAAAATACAAGTCATTCATACATAAAATAGAGACTTGCCATAGACATTTAAGTTTACATGAGCAGCTGGGCTTTAAATAGCTAAACATAACAGTAATCTTACTCTTATCCAAAAGTATCTCACATTCTCAAAAAATCATTCTTTCCATCAATGTATACTTTTATGAAACACTAATTGAGGAAGTACAAATATTTCTGTGACTCATTATATGCTAATTTAACAATAAATGTATTCATTGCATTCAATATTTTTGTTTCAAAACAGATACAGAATTAATTTCAACCAATACAAATGTACTTTGTACATGATACATGCAAATACCTACATGATGATATTCTTGTTAATCACAAACTATTCTACTACACAAGTACTGAAGCTCTGACTCATCTTTTGTACATTTGAATAACCAAGTCCCATCTTTTGTGAGCAATAGCAAGGTAATTAACACTTTATCTACCGGGCTATTTAGAAACAGACTTTAAATAAAAAAAAAATTTTCTACAGTATCATATGCCAATCTAGGCTGACAATAATTCTTCCATACTGTTACTGGGAACATTGAAAGTCAAGTCTGTTTCCAAACACTGAACATTGTAAGTAGACAATCATCAACACAGTAAATAAATTCGAATAGCTAAATACTGCAATTTTAAAAGCTTAAAAATAAGCTCCCGCTAAATAAAGTGTTAATTAGCCACAGTAACGTACAGAAAAATTGTATTAAATAGTAACATGCTTTAGTAAATAGAATAATTTTCAAAATGTTGTGGTTTTAATGTACGATAACAATAACGCGTATGCACAGCGTAATACTGCAAAAATTGTGGCGTAAAAATTCTCATACCCGATAGAGAGTAAGAAAAGTGCATATTATATAGAGAAACTGCGTCGTGAACAAAGAAAAATAACATTGAATAATAAATAATTGAAACACTTACCAGCTATAATCGCGCTTAGCGCGAGTAAGATCTGCATTTTCGCTGCTTCACTTCCTAATTTTTTTGGAGAAAGCGTACAAATCGACAATGAAATAACGTTATTTCTTTGTTATGGTATTATCCACGATCCATTTAACGATGACGTGCTGACTACTTTCGTAATGGATACCGTACGGTACTACAGCAAAACAGAGTATCGACGAATTGTCGGACAGCCCTCCACCGAATGTTGCTGTCAGATGACTGTTACTAGCGTTTATACGCATTCTTTGACCGATCCGTTCACACTATCGTTCTCTTTCTATTTTCTTCGTCAGCCAATAAGAATTACGCATCACCGTCACGTGTGACGTATCCCCCCCCCTTATGCGTTGTACACAAGGAAGTTGATAGTAGGGCCGTAGATTGCATTCATAAAATCTGAAGCATCTTAAATTGCTCAGAAGCGAGACTACTATTACATATCTCATCTATCCTTTTAGATTATATTTTCTAATTAATAACCCTTGAATTAATTTTTCCTAAAATAAACAGTGGCGTCCCCTGTCGGCGTAGAAGTGAAAAATACCAAGGCACAAACAAACTTCTCTGATTATTCATCGTGACTTCTCCCTTCCTAATCATGCTTTTTTATAAGAAAAAAAAGAAAGAAACAATGAAGATATCGTTTCTTACAGCGCGAGAAGAATATTATCGGATCACAATTATGTACGTGTGACACTAATATGTCAACAATAGATAAACGATAAATTAATGATAAAGTAACAACATTTGATCGATTGTATACACCGATATTTCTTTGTCGCAACCGAACATAAATGTATACGCAATCGAAATCACGATCACGTATTACAGCCTCTTGATTTTTTTTTTTTTTACGTAATTAAAGTGAGAATAAAAATAGCCTATATCTATTAAAGTTAGATTCGTACAGAATCACACATATTACTGTACGTACATAATTTTACATCTGAAATGTGATGTCTTGTAATCGATTTAATATTGGTTCTCGTGCAGTATATTTTTCTGCGCAAAATGTTTTTGATATTGTGCGATTCCAGCAGGTGTCTTACGTTACTTAACTGAAATATATATAATAGAAATAAGTCATTTAAAATAATGCTTGGTCATACTGTCTAATTTACAATGTTATTAATTGTTTTTTTTTTATTTGAGATCACATTAATTCTCATTTACTCTATTGCCTGCTTAACGTTATTATCACGAATTTGTGATGCATTTAACAATCTATAGAAATGTTTCTTTCTTCGTTTCATAAGGTTCCATACAAAAATAATTTATCTGAAAACATGGAATTCTTTGCGTTCATGTTATCGTTTCCCACTTCGTTGCTGCAACAGTTATTTAGTTGAAAAAATAAAACTTCTTTGTCGATACTGAAATATCGCGCATATGCGTTTATTATTAAACATTATAATATTTGTGTCAATAGCGAACCATAAATGTCCCTATCTCTCGTGTGTTTAATTGTACGCTTGACATTTACTTTAAGATTTCATCTCGAATGAGGTCCAATATGAGATGTTTCTTGTCTCGCGAAAAATTATAATGTGGAATCCTAATATTATATAATATTTACAAGCTTTTATGTAATATGATATTTGGTATTTTCAGGAATTATTTGTTAAATACGGGGATTTTAAACATACTACTTCACGTCACGTGCTTAGCCTACTTGTAATTTCGAAAATTAAAGTACGTTTATATTTGGACGTTAAAAGATAGTAATCTTAGATCTATTGTAAATATATCACGTAGCAGCACTCAACAGAATGCAAAAAAAACAACACAGTTATGGTTTCTTAACCGATTACTATCACGTATGATTAGAAAAATTTCCTGATGATAAACGCTTATTAGGTACACACTGGGAACTAAATATTACGAAACATGCAGTATTTATCTGTATAATTGAACTTGTTTGAGTTAATAGTAAGAAATTAAAAATAAATATAGAATGTGTACATTTTTTTATATGATTCAAGTAGTACCATTGACGTCCATTATTTAAAAGCGTAGCATCATTTGACGTGGTAATGTCCTTAACGAAGTTAAATAAATGGAATTATTAACAAACAGTTTTCCACAAACTAGTTAATTAAAGTGTAAATCTGATGTAATATTGATTAATGTAGAAACATATTTTTATATTGACATATCTTTAATATATTTTGTTATTATCATTTTTCCAATCTAGAGACGCGGTAGCGTCACGACGCCTCCAGTTTTCTTTCAGTATACACTTTTTATTTCAATTGTTTATTGTGAGAAAATATAATACCTGAAAATTATATAAAATATCAACACGCATCAAGTGTTTCCGTGGTGTAGTGGTTATCACATCCGCCTAACACGCGGAAGGTCCCCGGTTCGATCCCGGGCGGAAACATAATTTTTTTGTTTTTTATTTTTTTGTAGTAACACGAAATAAAAATTTATTTACGAATGTTAATCACATCTGTTCCAGAATAAATTCAAGTTTTTGAAGACTGAAGACTGATGACTGATCGGACCCTTCAGGAACATCTGTATTCTTCCAAGCAATACAATGTCTTTGGGTTGTTTGCCAATCGACACGGGACACTTAATTGCTTGACCGAGTCAATCAACATTCCCCTGGCTTTCCTCAAGAGTCTCCTTGGCTGGTCTGACCCTGCCATAAAACTTTCGTATCCTTAACATAACTGTTGTTTAATTTATTCGTACACCTAACACTTAATTTACACAATTTCCAGAATAACGAATTTCTAGAAATTAAAATTTATGTCGCCCATATATTGGTTCAGTCATTTTTTAGCAACGCTACCGATCGCCAAAGAAGAATTTTCCCATATTCCCAGCTCTACTTATAGCCCTATAATTTATAGTGAAAAAGTCTTTGGAATTATTTAAAAAACTCGACCTATGTATTTGTTGAGTAGATAAATCAGTTTCGCGTGATCTCTACATCAGTAACATGATAATTCATGTGGGAGGGGGTAATGCACAAAGTAGTAGTAGTGTTACCATATCCAAATATAGTTGTTTGTTACGTTACCGACCATCGATATGAAACGCATATTTAGGATTGGCTAATCGATTAGTTTGCCCGCTCGATCAACCGTGGCGCGCTGAATCGTCGAAGTTGTATTTCGATATAGTTATCGTCTGTAGCTTTTGCTGTAACGTAGCTTCCGTTGATAAAACAGGTACTGTTTTGAAAGAGGTTGAAGATTATTACGACAGGTGTTGTCAAATACTCGGAATACAATATTGTTTCCTTGGGAAACATTCGGTATCGACTTAATTTTTGGTGGATATACATTAGACAGTAATTGAACACGTTACAGAGTTCATAGCTAACGTTTCTCTTCGCTTCGCTACTGATATACTCCCTCTCACTATCAAGGTACACGTTTCTCTAATCAACTTTCGCTTTATAGTAACTTTACCACTTATTAACAAAAATTTTTTAAACGCAGGTCTATATCATAGTTTTATTTTTCGTTTTATTTTCAAATTTGTGCTCTTGTAGCACAAATAGTGGTATCAATAGACACATCAGACTAATTTTTATCCATCGCTTCAGTTTTGCTTCTTACTGTAATAGCAACGTTTTAATCGTCCTAAAATCGAGAAGAACGACTTACGTTCCACGGCTGGAGTCGCGTAATTTCGGATTTCCAGAGCGTGCAAACAATAAAATTGGATTTAGGAACCCTCGCGTTCGTACGTGGCGTGCGACTCGAAGGGTGAGTTTTCGGAAGGTGGACAAGCACGGTTGGGGGGGGGGGGGGGGGGCGCGAGATCAAAGACGCCCTACGGGCAATTCCGTAGTTTCTACGTGACATATTAGGTAGAAATTGACGGCGACAGCCACAGGCAGCAACTCCGCTAGTAAACTTTGATCATTTCACCTGTGGGGTTGTAGCGACTTGTGAATATTATTACTACGACAACTTCACGCTCGTCACCGTGATTACTATACGAGTATATTAGAGGAAGAGACAAACGCAAAGATATCGAATGTCTTATTATTAACGATACCCAAGGGTGGGCCAAAATTCTCGTCCAGCTAGAAATCTCGAACAACGAATGGAAGATAAACAACTCAGGCCAATGAATTCAATTGTAAAATGTTTAAATCCTTGAATGTTTCAATTTTAAACTGCTCCAATCCTGAGATACTTCACCGGGCTACGCAAGGCAATGGATAGAAACATTAATGTTTTCGTTTTTAGAACTGCTCTCTAAAATTTTTCTACCGTTTCGCGAATAGGATGGCTCGACATTCGGAGACGTCCTCTAATAGAAAGTTAATGTAAACACCATAGAAAAGAGGCGTTTCCTGGACAGACGCAAAGGAACGTAAATAGCTTGGAACAGAAAAAAAAGGGAAGCAGAAGGGCGAAAAATTGACTCGAGCGATCTATGTTTGGCACGATCATAGATCATTCCATTGTTGCAAAAGGGGGTGTGTGTACACATTATAACAGGGACATAATGGCGCACCAATGTGTACACACAACGGGGACGCCAGCGACACAGAATGTGCGGTGTTTGGTCTCCATTAATATCGGATCGACTGGATGGTTGCAGCAGGCCATCTCTTGTATCTCTCGCGCTTTTTTTTTTTATAGGGCCATATGTCTCTTGTGCGTGTCGCGTCCCGGGTCGCTCATTTGTCAGCACGCAATCTGCTATTGTCGCCATTGGATGCTGGCAGTCAAAACACGATGCCGATTTTTGCGCTAGGATGAAGTTCTATTTAGTCTCGGTTTAATCGTTAGGATTGCATTCGCTTCTTTTTAAGTAGTATTCCACTTAATTTTTGCTACGGAGGGAAACAATTGGAAAATACTAATTTTCTAACTGTACGACGATTCGTCGTGAAATTCTGGGAGGAAGAACGGAAGTTTGATCGGTAGAAAATAGCGAAAGGCTAAAGAAGAAAGGGGAATACCCCGCGGTGTATAATATCAATGGACGACGGCTGGCTGACGATGATCGTATCGCATTAGCAGTGAAGCGTTCTATGAGCAACTACCACCACTGTGGCCGCGTATACGCCAGCTCAGGACCCCACGGCGTATACATATATTATATAGCCGAAAGTGTCACCCTAACTGCGGTGCCTCGGTGTAAAATAAACGATACCTAATTACACGCATCCCCGTTCGCGTGAAAGCCGAACCAAGGTCCCTCCGAGCAAGTGCGTGCTAAGGTGGCCTCCTGTTTAATGGGATTACGAAATTACAATTTAGATTGATCGTCCGTGCACTGTTACGCTCCCTAAGAGTGGCAACTGTCGACGCACTTTAACAGGAATGCAATGATCGCGAAAGCAACTTTCCCCGTTATTAAGATTTCCCATGTTTGGATATTTCATTCTCTGGAAACACCTGAATTCAATTATTTTAATCGAATTAGCGATCGGCACTCGAATTAACCGCCGATGTATTACTCCTTCATTTTATTTCACTCTTCGTGCGAAATTTAACTCGATTTCCCTATATTTCCCTAACTCGAAACCTGGTTTATCATGGTTTACTTTCTTCACTAAAATTTCTTTCGAAACGTAACTGTACGCTACGATTATTTCAAAAACGATAGACTCGTACCACTTTCACGAATCGCCGTTTCGTATTATACCAATATAAAAAATCTTCTCTCAAGTTATAAACTCTTTCTGAAGAAGACAGTAGTTGAAGTATCAATGATCCCGTAATCGAATGATTCTCTAATCATCCCCGAACGGTAACAGTCGAAATTTCGCCATCGGTGATCCCAGGTTCGTAATTTTTGCGCGTAATCCGAACGAACGCAATCGCTCGGCAAACATAAATTTTTGTTACTCACCGCGATCGTTTTCAGTGTTGTCAATTCCATTTAAAAATTTCGCCAGCGCGGCTGCCGGTTTCGACATCTGGATGTACCCTGTAATATATAGAGGTGTCTGCGTTGCGGAGCTCGTATTTTTTTTTTGCCCGAGCTCCGCTTGCTGCCAAGAGGGTGGCTTGCAGTGGGTGTGCCCGACGATGATTAATTAGCGTTTGATGAATATGTATGAGAGAAAGGCAACCAACTCCGTTATACGCGCGCGCACACACACAGAGCCCTACCAGGAACATCCCCTGCGTTACAATAACGTCCAACCCCCTTCGTATACCTAGCTTCAACCCCCGGTTGCTGCTCTCTATGCTTCACCTCAACGAATTCTGCGACTCCTCCGTGAGCTGTATAACAATGCGTTTTCGGGCAAAAATTTCGTTAGAGGACGAGGCTGTTTCCCCCATCTGTTATGATTTACGCCGTGGACCAGCAAATTCGGGATGCATGGGGAATTTTGTTAAAATATGCCGCCGGATGACAAACACTTCGTAATTTAGAGCCAGTCCCAGACCGTTCACTGTTACATTCTCAAATACAACATAAGAAATTTCTTGATTCGTGTTTCACGTTCTTGAAGAAATTTGAATCGAGTATGATCTCAAATCATTTTTAGAATAATAGAAGAATACAAATATTAGGCAGTAAAGCTTTGATTATTGCACGAAGATCTCGATTGTTGCATGGTGTTAAGATATGGAGGGGATAAAATGGCAAGTAAGGTTGAAACTGTCTCTAATAAGGCTTAAAAAACAAAATCCTAAATACACCCTTGTATACACCTTCTATATACACTTGGTATGCGCCACACAACTTAATGCTTTGCACTCAAGGCCTTTTTTTCTGGTATCTGCCAGCAACTCGAGATGTTTCTTAGCATTTTATTGCCATGAATTCTGAGCTATCTAGATTTGAGAATAAGGTCACCTTTACTTCGCCTACAATCATTTTATTGACACTTCAAGCTCCAAAGAAATTAAACCTAAAGAAACATTAGGTATTGTAGATTTGCTGCGTGAAACGTTAATAAAACCAAAGGATTAATACAAGCGTGCAAAACTGTACCAGGGTGTCGTTTAAGAACGCAAGTGTATCATATATATCCGAGCATGACCGAGTTTCAGGGGTATTCTTTCAGATTTCCCTTGCAATTCTAATCCTGTAATATCCTCCAGCCGATATATCGACACCGGTAATGGAATCGTGCATTCAAATGGACATCGTTTCCCATCGAGTGTAGGAGGCAGGTCGCGGAGAGCAATGCCGGGGATGATATTGCCAATATTTGGTTGGATTCTGGTGCGAATGTGCAGGGTGTATGCCAAGGGTGTGCTCGCACCCCCTTAAGCGTGAGCACGGGGGTCGGAGGGTCGGTGTATGTTAGACGCGCGCCGATTACCATTTGAATGTACCTACCCCTGGTCAGCCTTTGTCAACCCTCCTGACAGTGACCGCACCTATCTATCTGCTAGGAATCCATTCTCCGTCCTCTTCTTTTTTTCTGTAGGCGGTATGTTCGCTGGTAGTTCTTCATGGCAGTGGTGCCAGAAACGAGACCCGGGTCCTCGACTTCACGTATGGTTGGAAAACTTTCGCTTTGGAATAAATATTTAGTAGTAAATAAAAGTTAAAAAATTTGAAAAGTTTATCTGCCGCTTTCCATACTACAATAATTCTATAAGATTTTAAGTTCGGTTGCTCACATAAATCGTTCGAACAATCTTTCGTCCCGAGTAATAGCGAACTAATGGCTGCGAACATGTAATAAGAAAATTCTTAAGCGTGTAAGATAGAGTAATTTATGAAGCAACCGAACTTAAAATCTTATAGAATTATTGTAGTATGGAAAGGGCAAACAAACTGTTCTATCGACGAAGAAATATGTAATGGACAGGGCCATACGACCACAAAAAGGAAATAAATACTGATGTAGCTTTGTTCGAAAAGGTCCAAACAGTAAAGTATAAACGGCACGCCACTGGTTTCCGTTCTTTTGTGAATTTTGGAATGAGGAACGCTGGTTCTGCATGCAACTTGTGTTAAAATCATCACATTACTATTTCACGTAAACAGCCACATAAAATTATAGTATATGTTTCTGCTATATTGAGACTATCGTAGGTGGTGTACTAGTTATATCTATACGTTTCAATATTTAATTTCATAGCAACCACGATAATCTCTGTATTAAAATATTGAAATTGTACTTGCTCATATGTATATATAACGTGTCTAAAGATAGTGAATATAAGTGAACCACTAAAAGCGCAACCTCTTGCAATAAACATTCTCAAATAAATTAAAATATATATTAACTGTTCCAATATTAAAGATACTCGGTGTAACTTTTGATTAGAGTAGATAGCCTGAGAAATATTTGTGTCTTCATCAACGTCGATGCACCCCTCGCGTAGAATAATGTCTTACACCCTGCGTGTCCAATTCGACGTAAACCAATGGGGAGGGTACGACGGTAGTGCGACAGGTGGCCCGTGAAATCAGTGCACGAGTGCGACGTTTCATCGACCCTGGCGTTCGATACAGTTCATTAGGAAATTAAATGTATAATAATTAGAACTGGGGTGGCAATGGGCCGCGTTAAACGGAAGTCTTTCGCCAACAACTGTCCGGGGTAGGGAGAGAGCCGAAGCGAACGACAGGACAATTTTCACACGAGAACGTTTCGCCTCGAGGTATAAATATCTTTTGTCGCAGACGAGAAGAAATGTCTACCCTGCGCGTATAAATACACACAGGGCAACGTCTCTCGCAAAGTAACAACGATCAACGAATCGAACACCGTCACTTCTCAACCATAACACTTGTGCATAGTTTAAAAAGTTATTGTTACTAAATCGAACGAATAAATTCGTTTAAACCATTGATGATATAGCTGGTGGATCGACGTGGCTAGGGAAAAAACACCCGAGACGTTTTTCGTTTAATTAATATTCAGAATTCTCTGGATGAAATGCAGAAGGAATTATTTTCATTATTATTTTCACAGTTCCCCAAATAGAAAAATGAACCTCTTCACTTATTTTCCCACAAATTTCGACGTAATGGAGGGCTCTAATTTTCCAAACAGTACTTCGGACGCTGTCCAAATAAAGAAAGTCACCGATCGGAAGATTCGGATTAACCCGGGGGCGGAATTAATTCCGGGTACGGATCGAAAGGAATTATTAGAGCAAATAATTTTTTTGAATCCCGATTCTCCGACGAGCGAAACTCTCCGACGCGAGATAGTTTGCAGTGGCGGCGGGGGTGGGCCGAACGCGACCGCGCACCCTTACACGTGCAACCCCCATTTGCATACCGATGATCGAGGACTCGAGAGGTGGTTGCACATTTACGCGCGTGTTGCAGAGGCACGGCGGCGCAGGTTGGCCGACAGAGGGGCGTAGGAGGGAGGGAGTCGTTGGTGTATTTTAGCATTTCACGTTTGTTTCCATTTAAATGGTAATCGAGTTCATAATGTAATTGTATTCACCGCGTAAGCCGGGTCTCACCGCAGCGCTTCGTCCCCGCCATTGTTTGCATTGTTCTCCTCGCGGCGCGAACAATCCGCGCCGGCAGCCTTTCAGCTTCGCGTTTTGGCGAAATCTAAACCCCTCGGGCGCGTCCCGAGATGATATTTTGCCATGATACAACGCTGGTTTACACGTTACCGATGGATTTCGGTGAGGAATGTTCGACGTTCAGCCGACGCGCTCTGTGAATTATTACGCGTACGCGTTGACAAGGATTAGGAGCCTCGATTTACTTTAATTATTTTTATATGTTCGCACATCTCTGACGTGAGAGGTCGTTCGGCCCATAGAATAAATTAAAATCATTGTCAGAAATCAGGTTATCCCTCTGATTACTCCTAAACACTAATGACATCTAGTCTGTTCAGTATTATCGACTATCTTCAACCTACTGTTTCAGCAATGCATCCTTTCACCGAAATCCTCAACGACAAACATGAATTTCCGAATGAATTCATCGTCAGTCCACGTCACAAATCAGCGTTCTTCCAATCGAGACGGTTGCTTACTTCCCTGGTGGTTGTTAGCGGAGGTGGTCGCAACAATTACCTCGTAAAACGGTTGGCTAGGCTTTGCCAGCCGTGTTCGGTATTCACGAATCGGTCCGTGATTCGCGATCGGTGTTGATTCAGTGCCGCGCAACGTCGCACGTGCGCCGATGTAGACGCACGCAAAGCTCCCGCAACCCGAACTTCAGCACGCGCCACGATTATGCGATTACGCGATTACGCGTGTCGGTTCCTGTATCGTAGCCCGGGGGCGTCGAAGAAGAGGTCTGTGGACGATACCGTGCCCGCGCAATGACGCGAAAGATTCTTCGAAACCCTCGTCCCATCGTGTAACCGGCGCATCTGTCGGGGAGAACGTTCCTTAAGTTTGGCGTCGCAGTTACAGTTTGCTGTTTTAATCCAGTCACTGTTTAGATATGACTATGGTTTTCTACAAAGTGCTTTTCCAATGTGTACCATCTTTTGACTAGCTTCAATATTTTATTCAAAGTTTCCCAGTCAATTGACAATGCTTTGTACTCGAATGCTGAATGTTGAGTAAGTGAAAACAGAATTTATAAAAGTTACAAAGTATTGGGAAGTTGGAAATGTCCTGTGCAGCTTTTTTTATTTTATTTTTCTGTGGACTAATTAGGGAAGCGTTAGTAAGAAAACTGAAGCTTTAACACTTAAGCTTTGAAGTTTTTAACACTGAAAGCCCTTTTGGAAGATCAATGTATTGTGTATTTCTTCAACAATCGTAATAGACTACTCAACCAATGGTAATATCTTTGTGATCAATATTCCAATATGCTACTACAGTTTCTTCGAGAAAAGTTAATGTATTCTGTCATATCGTGATTAGGAATCAACAAAATAACTAGTGTCTCGTTTAATACGAAGATAGTTGAGGTTACAACTTTGATCTGTAATGTAAATCGTGTACAATGGTGCCACGTCTTTCGCACGTTTAAAATGGCAGTAACGTATCTATGCAGGGTCGTGTATGACGCCTGTGAACCGAGTTGAAGCAAGAATTAAGGGAGGCGGGAATGATACGCAGTGGTGGCACGAGCCGACACGTGGCGGTACCGCTTTATACAAACAGCATTATGCACGCTCGTGCTAACATAAATTACTGCGGGTTTAATATTGAACGTCGGCATTGGCCATGGACGACCACCTCCCGAGCAAAACATGTTTAATGCGGGGAACCGAGCGTACTCATTCACGTTGGGCCTTCTTCGATTCTTCTTGATTTCAGGTGTTCTCGTATTAACACCTCTCTATTAGCCATATGTAAGTGATCAAGCTTCAAGAAATTGAAACTAATAGAACACTGGAAAATTAATTTTGAAGCTGAGATATTAAAGAAACGAAATCTGGATAAAATTCGCGTATTCGTGTGACATATCTCATCTCATCTACCGCATCTATATGAATTCGATAAAGATTTATTTTTAATCTACAAATCATTCACTATTGTAAACTGTAGTAACCTGTCAAGTTTAAAACCACTCAGTGTATCGATAAAAGTTTCCAAAGGTATTTGGGGTCACTCGATCCCCTTTCTTCTCTATTCAGAAACGGATTTAAGGATGAACATCCGGTTTGGCTTCCCTTTCTCGGCAAACGCCGCTGTCGTCAGCCACACACGAACCATTTCCTTCCAAGTATCTTAATTTTGATCCACGCTCATTCATAAACGAACGCCTGTAATTCATGCAGGCGGTCTGCGTTCCGTCATTCACCGCAGGGTGTCCACTTATCGAGCCCTTTTCATTCCCTCCTTTTGTACATTCTCGCCTTTACGGTTAGGCTACTTTCCAAGGGCGTCTCGCAAGACTCCCCAAAGTCGCTTACAAGCGCTACCCCGTTCAGCAGTTGTGAAAGAGCTTATTGTGAAATTTAATCGAGACTTCTTCCAAATGCCGCCATTCATACACGACCTCTCCGTCTTCATTTACATTCAACTAGTCATCTGTTTGGGTTGGCGATTAAACTCTTTCTTCCGTCGCTCGTCCTTTCTCAACCCTAGTTTAGCCCATTCAACTATTACTTGGCCTAGCTTTAGTCCTGTGTAGATGAGATTGCTATTTATAATTACGTAAATATCGTTTTCTCGAATCGATTGGACAAACAATCTCGAGCACACTTCACGCCAGTCGTGAATACCGTCGCGCGATGTTCCAAGAGTTTGTTACTCCGAGTTTACACGTCGTTACAGGGAATCGGGGTCGTTTATGGTTGCAGATCGCGGTACAATGGCGGAAGTGAGTTACGTTCGAAATCCTTACCCCGTGCCGGATATAGTTCGCGAGGGAGTGTGGACGCGACGACCTGTACTGGGTGATAAAGTTTCGCCAAAGGATAAACGTTGGAGCGCCAACTTAAAATCTCACGAACGCCTCTTTGCCCATCATACGCTGAATAGTGTACGGAAAGACGCCAGACTTATGAGATTACAGGTAATACGCCGCGCATTAACCTGGATTCCTTGTCGCTACTCGAGTATCTTTTTATCGCGCAGCATGGTAATTGCAAATAAATATCTCCTCACTAGGTTGGTTATATTAAACGATCGTAACAGTAAAAGCATAGTTTATCTTTCGAAATAGCAATTTAACGATTTGACTACTGTGTTAACTTCGTAACTTTGTTTATATGAGGTGTCTTTTAGGCATTGTTTAGTATCCATTGGGATTAAGTGATATAGTAAACATTTTGAACCTGGAAAGTCATCTGCAGATGTGATGGAAAATATTTTTTTATGTATATAGAGCGATACATTTTTACATTAGACTGTCTCATGAATATGTTATCCTTTTATAACTGCAACCGATATCGAATAAGATCACAGTTAATTGAATTGTTGAAAGTGATATAATTTCTGTGGACATGTAATATATTCTACTGATTTATTAGTTTGTTTTTTATTCAGGTACCCAAAGATGCTCTTGACTTGGCGCTGACAACCGTATACACCCACAGTAAAGACACCCTGGTGCCCAAAATGTACGTTACCATGCAACCCGAGTCGTTAGGTAGAAAGACTTGGCGCGTTTTGAAAAATCGGATCGAGGTAAGGTGACCTGTAGTAGCAACAATTTGAGTTTGAATTTTTGAGTTGCTGCTCCTAAAGTTTGCTAGAGTAATACCTCTTTTGAGGTTTATTTTTTCCTATGGCTAGTTCAATGTGTTCCTAAAAGGACCTTCAGAATTTTATTTTCCGATAGTACGAAGGTAGTAAAGAATATATTCAATTTTGTAATTTTGAATGAAAGTACACGTCATCATAATTAAAATAACAAATAAAATCCTGAAGCATCTTTTGGAAGACTGTTCACGTGAATGAATCTTGGTTGTGTTTTTTTCGAAAGGTTCACAAGAGACCAACTTCGTTCGGCGAAGATTTCGAAGACGACCCAGTGACATTATTGCTAAAGAGCGCGCATTGTTATCGCGGACCAGTGCCGGAGAGGAGAATCCATCCGAGTAACGTGAAATTGAATATCACCGGTCCACACTCGGTTCAATCTAATCCTGGATACAGTCGCAAAATCGACGGAACTTTTTACAGTATTTAAACACGGCTTTGTACGGTGTTTGAAATGAATACCCCGGGAGCCGGAGCTAAGCTAGCAATCGTATTTGAGGAAATTAAATCGACGATTTTATAATTATCATTGCCGCGATCGGTCGCTTCTATGTGTTTACGAATACTCATTTTCGAGTGTTCATTTTCGAATAATTTAATCGGAGGATCTGCTACTATCACAGTTAATTCGCATTCTCCATTTGAGTATCGTGTTTTCGTAGATATTTCTATAACGCTTTCGGCTAATTATATTTGCGCCTGTTACGTTTGTGAATAACAGGTAGAGGGTGCATTGAATTATTTATAATTGCATATTTACTGTTGTATTTACATTTTAATACTGTACTTTTAATTAAAGGAGGAACTAAATATGAAATGGAATCTTTTCTTCCGATTGAATTTTCTGTCGATGTTAGTCTTATGTTTGCATATTTCTTCGTAGGAATGGTGCATCTGGCAATTCTACGTAAAGGTGAGGGATATCTGTACCTCGGAGATAAACTATGGTTTAAATTTGGAAAGTTTCTTATTTTAAATAGCAATGGAAACTATTATATAATACCAAACTTAGAGTTTGCCTCTGAGAAAGAACTGCACGTCATATGTGACACGTTAAAAAGATCACGATTATCGCTTCGCTAAAACAAGTCAATCGTCTCATCTATGCGCAACAACTAGGGGTGTTAGGGGTACATACGCTCGTATCAGCGTCGATCGTGTTGACAAATTTGTTCGTGCAGATATCGCGATATCATAATGCAATCCCTCTGGAATCTTGGCTGCGATCTACCAGCTCAGTTTCGGTTTCGCCCTTTTAGACAACTGACGATGAGCCAGGCGAAGAGCGTGAGTCAGTGCACAGGACGTTCTCACTGAGCAACCGAAGGGACAGAATGTCCCATTACCCGGGGTAATCCTTGTTTGTAATAAACCAGCACCCTACTGCCAGGGGGGTGGCGGCCGCCCTCGCCGCATAACGTCGCAGAGGTGGAGCCATCTCCGTACGCATATGCTCCTCATGGAATATCATTTATGTTTCACCCCGTGCAGACGTCTATCTTGCCCCCGTTTGACCTGCTCCGACCCCTCTGGGCCACCCTCTTTCGGTAGACACCTCGATCCTTATACATACGCCTAATCCTGCCATGATTGCCGCGGCGACCGCCTCGTCACGAGAAACTCCACCTCGGCTCGTGCCAGCTCACCCTTTTTCACTAGCACCCTTATCTTTTTAACGACATTGGAAGGTGAATTGAAGGAAACAGAGACGATTGTTTCGTTGTCCTCTCGTGCGAGAATGTCGCCGATAGCTTTCTGAGTTTACAGCTAGCGAGGGGGTTGCTCTCTCTACGACTTCGAAGCGTTCGGGAATTTATTCCAGGTGAATCAGGTGTTTGAGGATGTCTGAAGATTTTACTGTTCATTTAGGATGCTTTGTGGTGCAAGGTATTATTTTGTCACGTCTACAAAATGGATAGATTGTTTTTGAGTTACAAATAGAGCTCGAGGAGTTTGTCTCTCTTCGGCTGAGAAACGAGTACTCCTTTGGGAAGTTATTTTGAGTAGAGAGACCAATCAGCTCGAGGATTTTTCAAATAACTAAGTAACAATTTAAACTCTAAACGAGAAAAATCATATGTATTCAATTAAACATATATGATTTACACGAGTGAAGCATAAAATATTAACATGGAAAATTAATCAATCTTACATTGTCTTTACTCTTCTCCCAGTCGTAGATAAATCCTGTTACTCTGTTCAGGTGGCGTCAGCTAAATTTTTAAATAAGCGTCGATCGCGACGACGAATCAAATAAGTCTCCCGTGACTTACATCACATCGGATGACTATCGACGCGGATACTTCTTCTTCTCCAGTTAGGGCGCAAGGGAAGTGCTGGAAATAAGGGTAGAGAGATCTCAGACCGTTCGTGGGTAACGAGCGAGGTAACCAGCCAATTACTTGGCTGAGCGGTTTTATTTGTATTTAATTCTTATTTAATTTACTTTTTACTGCCACCTTCCTGGGGACACTGTTAACGAAATGGAAGATTGTCCGCGTCATTGCAAATTCACGGTGCCCCGTTGCATCGAGCGCAATTAGTTTTCAACCAAAGAAATAAATTGCTTTCTCGTCTCTGTTACATATTTAAGCTGATTCCCGAGTCGACACATTTTTCGTCAAATTTCGATCATTGCTGGATTTCTCAATGATAAATATTATGTAAAAAATGCGATAGAAAAAGTGTGCATATTTAAAATTTGTAGACGGCGAAGCGACGAAACACGTTCGACGAAGAAAAGGTAAACGAAAACAATAATCGATTTGCCATCTTTTCGATTCCCGCTCGCATACGTTTACTCGAAAGGAAATTCTGCGTAAAAGTCGCGGCAAAGTCTCATTGATCCCCACGGGATGAAGTTGTTATTCCAGTGAACTTGTTACGTTATATTTATCAGCACGGTGCACACTGCCGCCACCCGTCGAGCTTTATCGTTCCTTTCGGTCCCATTTTTGCTCCCCCGACTTTATTCACCTACGTACTGTCAAGACAAAGCCGCAAACGACGTTATAAAGGACAGTCAGAAATAGGCTCTATTAAACGAATGATAGCAGTGAGTTTTCTTGACGTTCGGCATTCCACAATATGAAAGAATTCTCCACGAGACTGTAAATGTTTTTGCTATTGTTTTTATATTGAGGATAATACTAGAGATTACGAATTAATTTGTATCATTACATCAGGAATTATTTTATATTCTGGATCTCAGTATATGTATCATATTTTTATTGAAAAATTCGAGGAACTCCTCTAGTCAGTGCCATAAATATTCGTACCCTCTACGTCTATTGAAGAAATTTGTTTAAATCAAGTAGTAAGTTTGATGTTTTCAAGTGTATGTTTATATGAATATGTTGATGTGTATATAAATATATACATGTACAAACTTATTCATATACATATTTATAATGAAGAATTCAAACTTCTTGAATAGACATAGAATGTACGAATATTTATGGAATTGACTGTATATCCTGCACAATCACTAATAAAATTAGTTAGAAGTAAGATGTCCATTGCAAAGGGTTAATTTTATTCTAAAACTCGAGTCGATTTATAAGAAACGTAAAATTTAATCGATGTACAGTGTGTCGCTAGGAATAAATAATGGAAGAGCTGGAAAGGTACGTGCTAAATCAAACAGTGGAAGGTTCGCGGCTGAAAATTTACCCTCTACTCGTGTCGATCTGGTTTCTCAGCCCCTATAATACAGAAAGGAAGCCACCCGCTTTCTAGGAGGTCACATCTATACGACCGGTAGCTTATGAAGCTTATTTTTTAATTTCTGTTCAATATGTTGCCACGCCACCGGAGTGTTTGTCCAACGTTTTAAAGTTATTTCAAAACAACTCCGCGCCGCCGTTCCAGCGGAGGGGTTTCCGCTTCAATTGTCTTTTCTATTAGAATAGGGGGAGCGAAATCACGGTCGTACGATCACGAATTCCGTGAGAACACGCGACTCTTCCGCTTCCACTGTTGTTTAAATAAATACACCGCCGTGAATTCTCATCAGTCATTCCGATTCTAAAGGGCTTTTCACGAGGGGCTTTAGGATTTTGTTTTTTAATAACAAAATACGCCTGTCAGGGTCGCGATGGGCATCTGATCGACTTTAATTTAAACTTCTTTTCTTGTATTGTACATACATGTATTCCGAAACAAAGGTATACAAAAGATTCTTTAATTTTAAATGGAAGTATTAATATATCAAGTAATAATACTGTTTCATTTGAAACTTCAAATTTCCAAAATTCAAATTCAAATCGGTTATGTCAACTCAATTATTTTGATAAAAATTGTAAAATGACTACATAGCACCTTAATTTCGTTTTACCAGCTGACAATACATTGACAGAATTATACGATTGTACGTGCTCCATGGTTCATGTTCTATTTTCGTGGACCGGCATGCACGAAAAAAAAAGAAGCTGGTAGCGATATTGCTTCCGCTTTTTTTCCTCTTTGTTTTCGCCTCGGCGAAAGGAAAGCGGATTAAAAAGTGAAACGGGGGTGGAAAAAAGAGGAGTTTCTAAACGACGGTGGAAGGTCAAGCCCGAGATTACGAAAGGCTCGTGCGACGTTTGCTCGTTAATTAGGGAGTTCTAATTATAGTAAATGCGTGAGTAGAGGCAAGGTACGCGCAGATCGTGCCACGGCAGAAGCTCCGGGGATCAAAATGCAACCCTCCGCGAACGAGCCAAGATTACCTTCGAGGGTCCTCGCCGCTCTCTTACTAAGGCCAGGCCCACAACCTGCGACGAGAGTCCTTCTCGTGGATGCTCCGTTCTTCCCCCCTTTCGCGTCAGCCACTCTCAGATATCACCTAAAATAACATCAGCCCCGGATCCACTCGCCAGGATAGATTTTACTGCTCCGTGTATAACAAATGGATTAGTATTTCGGTAGACGCCTCTAATTCCCTTTCGTTATGAGCGTGGAAGATTATTCCGATCATCTATCCTTGATTTCGGTCGATCGACGCCACACTGTATCTATTTACGTAACTGGAGGAGAGAAGATTCTAGAGGAGAAAAACCAGTCGACCGTTTAATCTCCTCTAACTTGGAATCTTTTTTTTCTTTGTCTTTTTGGGGAGAGAAGAATATTCTTCGCGTTGAATCCACGATTGCTTCCGAGGAACCGTTTTAGACTTTGGCGAGCTTGCGTCGACCACCCTTGCCAAAGGGAAATCAGTGGAATAATCATTTATTGGAAACTCAGAATTTATTTCAACGTCACCTTGTTAATTTAGTCTTAACGTCTTCATAAAATGAAGTCTTCTGCCAGAAATAGATTTCAAATATGCTCAATTCTATTTTCTGCAAATTAATTTCGTTAGAATTTAGTCGAATCCTAGCCAACGGGAACACAGCAATTCCAGGGTACGAAAGGGTCGTTCGTTCGGGGAATAGAAACGCGTGTCCGAATTCCCACGTGACGACGTCGCAGAATCCTCGCACGGGGGGTCGCACGCGTCCCTGCGACGTCGTACCGTCGCATTCTCCACTCGTATGGATGCAAAACATATATTTGCGCACTTCGCAGCCGTAAGTGGATGGGCCAGATAAAGCAGATTCTTGAAATTTTCAGCAAACAACCGCCCCCGTGGAACGATACATCCTATCTGCTCGTGTACAAACACCAACCTGTACACAGACATGTTTTTCCTGCAATTAGGGAAACTCTTCGGGGTGGAAGAAAACATTTGTGCTTGTGAATGGGGATTCTTCTTCTGG